TCTCCTGGTACATACATTTTAGAACAAATAACGTCATCTTTGGCTAGATCTCGGAGGTTTGTGGCAGCTTTAATTTTAGACATTACACCTTTAATTGCCATTATAGGATCTGTGGCAGCTTCTTCCACTGCCTTGGTGCGGGAAGTACACACTGCAGAACATGGGAATGAGTTATCTTAAAATGTCAGTCTAGCCTTATTTACCCAAGAACAGATAGATAAAGGCATTATCAATAGATTAAATGCTTTAGAATCTGCATTAATATATATTGGAAATCAGATACAACATATTAAAGTACAAATGTCTGCTGCTTGTCATACTCAATATAAATGGATTTGTGTCACCCCAATGCCTTATGATGGCCAAAATATAACTTGGGCTGAAGTTCAGAATCACTTAATGGGAGTTTGTGACTCCACTAATTCAACATTAAATATTCAACAGCTGCATACTCAAATCACGGCTATTTCTCAGGCTCATTTAGTTCCAACCCCCTTCTCTCAATTGGCAACTAAATTTACTTCTACTCTTACTCGTTTTATTTCTTCTAATTCCCTATGGACCTTAATTTACAATTTCATAGTGGTCGGATTAATTGTTCTGTTTTTGCTGTTTATCCTACCAGTCATTATCAGAAGATTGAGGACAGCTGTCCAACAAAACTCTGATGCTATCCACCTCGCCATTTTAAAAAATAAAAAAGGGGGAGATGTCGGGAGCTGCAACTCCTAACAGAAGGCAAAGTAAGGGTTACCTGAACTACCTGGAAGTCTGAGATAGAAGCATCACCTAGCCCAGCAGGTTGAGGCTTGGTTGCCATAAATGCCACTGCACTCCAACCTGGATGACAGAATCAGAATCCACCTAAAAAAAAAACTTAAATAAAAAACCACGTGGCAGCACCCCTCAATTAGTAGCCATCGTTTTCCCCTGTCACCTGACTGGACTGATCCTAAAACTGAGGCAGGTGAGAGTTCCATAGATTGCAGGGAACCAGGCTGCTTTCCGGGGGCCTGGAGGTTCAGGTGTGGCCAGCATACTCCTGGCTCAGAACAGAGCATGGCTGTTTGGTAATTTCTTTCTTGAAAGTTGTTAAGCTCCCCAGGCATCTGGAGATCAGGAATCAATAGTTTTCATTGCACAGTTTTTTTTTTTTTTTTTTGAGTTGGAGTCTCACTCTGTCGCCCAGACTGGAGTGCAGTGGCCAAGCCTCAAGCTGCTGGGCTCCGGCTATCCTTCCGCCTCAGCCTTCCAAGTAGCTGGAACTACAGCTGCGTGATACCATGCACAGCTAATTTTTTGATTTATTGTAGAAATGAGGTTTCGCCAAGTTGCCCAGGCAGGTCTCGAACCCACGGGCTCAGGCTGTCCACTCACCTCAGCCTCACAAGGCGCAGGATTATAGGCTGAGCCACCGAACCCGGCTTTTTTTTTTCTTTCTTTCTTTCTTTTTTTTTTTTTGAGTTGGAGTCTCACTCCGTCTCCTAGACTGGAGTGCAGTGTCTGCACCCGGCCACCGCATCCTCAACCCCCTGGGCTCTGGCGATCCTCCCGCCTCAGCCTTCTGAGTAGCTGGAATTACAGGCGCGCACTACCACATTGCTCAGCTTTGAACAAGGATGCTGGGCTCCTGTCTTATCCTAGTTTCCCTGTGAGATTCTGACCACAGGACAACCTCGTGCTGCTATCTCACTGGGCCTCCTATACCAGGGCCTGCCCAGTCCACTGTAAATGCTGAGATACCCTTCTCCCTTATGGTGACACATGTATAATAACTTTCTTATGGAAAGTGACCCACATGACCCATAAAAAGTCAGGGCAGCACTCAGCAAGGGGACCCAAGATTCCACGTAACTCCTCAGTCCTATGAAATCAATGTCAAAAAGAAAGTTGGACAATGGAAGCCTCTGGATGGGAGGGTAACTATGGCATCATCAAAGCCTCAGCCAGTCAGCAGCATGTCTTGTTCCTCATGCTGGATGATCTGTGTGACAGTGCCTTCCTTAAGGGGCACAAGTCTTACACCCAGAGGGGCCCAACCTGGCCTCTGGGAAAGGATGTACACTAGGGATACCTAGGATGATCATAAAGTGAACATGTGGCCCTGACCAAAACTATGATTTAGCCCAAGGCAGGGTGAGAGCCCTTGGTGTAGTGTGTGGGTACCTGAGACCTGCTTATGTCCAGCTGGGCCAGACCTATGGTATCACCAGGCATGAAAAATCAGGCATGATATCACCAGGCATGAAAAACCACCAAGCACCTCAACTAAGGTGGTCAGAAACCCACAGACTAGCCATCAACCTTATCCACTCAAGGAGGCAATGATGGCTAAACTCCCATGACCTGAGTGGCCATTACCTGACCACCAATGAAGCAAAAGTCTGAGACCAAGCAGACGGCACTGGGGCCATGATGTCAAGAGTACAATACTTGCTCCAGATTATAGAAATGATGAAAATTGGGCAAGTGAGGGCCCATTAGGGCAGGTCACTAGGTCTAGGTCTGTCATCATTTGTGGGTGCCTTTCTTGGCAAGAAATAGAAAATGTGGCCTCACTCTGTGCAAGGATGCTCCAAGGTGGCTACATAAGGAGGAAGAGCTCCTGGCTATGCAGGAATAGACCTTAGCTGGATCCCACAGCCTATAGTCTCTCCCCTTTTTTTTCATCTGGCTACTTGGGATTCTCTTTTTTTGTTTTTCATTTTTGGGTTTTTTTTTTTTTTGAGTTGGAGTCTCATTCAGTTGCCCATGCTGGAGTGCAGCTCATGGCCACCCCAGTATCAACCTGCTGGGCTCTGGAGATCCTTCCACTTCAAATTTCCAAGTAGCCAGAACTACAGATGTGTGCTATGATGCCTGGCTAATTTTTTACTTTACTTGTAGAGATGATTCTCGACAAGTTGTATGGGCTTGTCTTGAACCCATGGGATCTGGCAGGATTCTCCATTTTTTGCTGAATCTGCAGGTACTGAAAATCATCCAGTTTCTTTTTCTTATCTCATTTTGCTTTCAGGAGAAATAAGAAGACAGTCCTTCTATCAAATGAATTCTCAGCAGTCCCTTCAGCAGCCTGCTCTGTGTACAAGCACAGTGATGTCTTTGTGCAATAGAGTGTCCAGTTCTCTCCAAACTCATAGAGATGAGTTCTTACAATAGTGAATATCCAGATTTCTCCTAATGGATGGATTTGCCCTACACTCTTCTTTTATCCAGGATCATGTGGGGGTTTATTTCTCTCTCTCTCTCTCTCTCTCTATTTATTTGTTTTTACTTTTTAGTCTTCTTTCAGGGGACTTGTTTCTTTGGTTCTTGGGTGTGGCAATGGCCAGTTTGTCCAACATGATACTGGTGGATGTGGAATTTCCCAGCAGGGCCAAAAACGTGGACTCACCTTGAAACTATTCACAGGGTACATTGGAGTGTTTTGTCGCCTCCTCAACTGGGGTGTTGTCCTGCAGCACAGAAACCAAGCCACCAGGCGTCATTCTTGTGCCACAGTTCCCACCAGGCTTCGTGATGTGTGCCATATCCTGCTCCTCCCCACATCTTCCAGTGCAGGGAGGCAACTCAACCTCAAAATTCTATAAGCAAAAACGTGACTTTCTTTTTCTCTTGCCTTCTCCAGCCCCGTTGGATCGCATCTGCTGTCATTCAAGATCAGGGTGGTGGCCTGTAGACTTATCCAATCAGTGGATGCTAGTTCAGAAACTGCCCAATTAGAAAGGAGCTCAAAGTGAGGGGGTGGCTTCCGGGGTCTGACCGGGCTTTTTGTTTTCTGGGCCTGCGGAAGTGCCGGATCATCTTGGAGATAGCCGCGTGTCTTTGCTTCTTCCCTTTTCGCCCTGTGAAATGCAAGTCTGAGGAGTCTGTAGGGAGGACGCTGGGACACCCGGAAGCCAGGAGATGGTGAGTATGGGGGTGGGTGCGAGAACGAGAGGCAGGATGGACTTGGATGACCCGGCTATGGCAGATTGGCCTCCACCTCCGTCCTGATCCTGGATCTGTCCCCACCGGCAGCTCTGCCCCGGTCCCCACTGCATAGGGTGGGTCTGGTCTGCTCCCCAGGGTCCTTCCCCCGTGGCGACCTTGCCCCACTGGAGGCCTCTTCAGGCAATCCCGTGCTCCGGATGTGTGGGACCCACGATTTTTATGGGGGGAGGGTGTCTGACCCGCGTGGAAGGCCCCTGGGGGAAGGGGCTGTGGTCCTGGCCCTGTCCCTTTCTTCTCCTAGAAAGTAAACAGATGCTCCAGCACAGTCTTAAGGTGTTCCCTTGGGCTAATAGTGGATCGTAAATCCCTAAGCCCCAGTCCCGTTCATGGTCTGGGATCTCTGGTAGGACAAGGGGAGGGGGAGGCTGACCACGTGCAGGTGCTGGTGGGTGACAGCCCTGTAGTCACCTTATTTGGAATATCCAGGTGGAAATCCCTAGGGCAAGTCATCAGGGTCATTGGCAGGTCCAAACCAGGTCCAAACCTGGTTCTGCCTGGTGATGGGACAGCCAAAGTCAAGACAAGGAGTTGGAACATGGGCTTTGACTTGATTTAGAGGACCTTTAAAGCTGAGAAGATGAGAGGCCTGCGTCCTAAAGACCCCTCCTGGGTTGTGTGTACTTTTTTTGGTTTTTATCCAGGTCAGTGTTGGGAGGGAGAGAGAAGAGAGAGGATTGCTTGAGCCCAGAAATTTGAGCCTAACCCGGACAACATAGCATATCCATGTGATTATAAAAGCTGAAACAATTTAACCAAGAGTGTTCACACATGCCTGTAGTTTCAGATTCTTGGGAGCCTGAGATGGAACAATCTGTTGAGAGCAGATCAAGATTGTGATAAGCTGTGTGGAGACAGTTCATGCCTGCTTGGGTTATGGAGTGATATTCAGACTCATAAAATACATTTAATTTAAAATTTAAAAAATAAAGCCATATCTTCAACAGGTAGATATGACTTGTCCAGATAATCTCACCTGAAAAGAAATGCCAGAGGAGGATGAGGTAAAAATGGCTGGTTCTCAGGTAAATGTGTTCCAGGTCAGGGGCTGTGTCTCTTTTTCTACTGGAATGTCATGATATTAGAGCATGCAAACCTTGATTGATAATTGATGGTAATTTTTTTTTTTTTGAGTCTCACTCTGTCACCCAGGCTAGAGTCCAGTGGCGTGCTCCAGCCCCTGTAGCCTCGACCTGCTGGACTCAGGTGATCCTTCCACCTCAACCTTTCAAGTAAGCTGGAACTACAAGCACACACAACCATGTTCAGCTAACTTTTTGATTTATTGTAGAGATGAGGTCTTTTCAAGCTGTTCTTGAACCTATGGGCTCAGGCAATCCTCTCACCTCTATCTCCCAAAGTTTTGAGGTTATAGGCATGAGTCACCATGCCCGACCACCATATATGTCTTATTCTACTTTAAAACTGTGTATTCCCTTGATTTTTTAGTATTTGTTTTTAAGATGTAGGGTATAATTCAGAGCTATGTTTACAAATGTTCATTATGCAGGTATGCTTCTTGATGAGGTATGCCCACACACCCCCAGCAGTATTCCACTCTCAGTCTGTTTCTAAAGTCACTATCACACTGCTTTACTTATTATGTATGATGAGGTCTTTCAAACTTTTTATGGATTTCCAATTTAAATATTGTTTACAAAATATTTTTCTCTTCAGAACACAAACAGCTGATATGTACATCAGTATCAACCTCAATTGATAAACTGGTTAGAAGATTATTGACTTAATAATACCATTTAATCTTTCTTCTCAAACAAGTATTTTCATTATTTTTCATTTCTACTGTTTTTCATGTTTCAGAAATATTCTACCGTTTTTTGTAATTTGATCTTTAAATGTAAATGTTTTTGTAAATTTCAAAATATCTTTTTAATCTATTAACCAGATTATATGACTTTATCTTTGATTTTATTAATGGGGCTAATTGTATTGATGGATTCCCAAATGCTGAATCTCCTAAGCATCCCTGACATAAAGGGATCTTGATGATGTAATGTTGCAACATAGTGACACAATGTTTCTACTAATTTTTACATTTCTATTCAAATGTGATCTTTCTACAAAGAAATGACTTGAAATCCTTAGTATGGAATAGAAATTGTGTGCTGACATTTTCCTCATCCAGGGACACCGGGTTTCTGTGGTTTTCTCTTTCTTTTTTCTATTATTTTTATTTTCAAATGTTGGGTACAATTCAGGGTTAGGTCATAAGTGGTCATTGTACATGTAAAGTTTGGGTATGCTTATTTATGTTATAACCCCCACCTTGGCAGTGTTCCTCTATTGCCAATCAATTACAGTACTCCGATGATTGTTCAGGGTCCACTTATGAGTGAATACATGTAGTACTCAGATCTTTGTTTATGTGATAAAATACTTCAGTATATACATGTTTTTTAGTTGGACTCTCACTCTGTCACATAGTGTATTAATCAATAGTTTTGTGGCCACCTCCTGTGTTATGTGAACTACAGACATGTGCTACCACACCCAGCTAAGTTTTGATTTATTGTAGAAATGAGGTCTCACCAAGTTGCTCAGGCTGGTCTTAAACCCGCAGGTTCAGGCAATCCTCTCGTCTTGGCCTCCCAAAGTGCTGGGATTACAGCTTGAGCTACCGAGCCCAACTTTTATTTTTTCTAGTAGGAGTTACACTCTTTCCCCTGGCTGTAGCTCAATGGCACATTTGTGGCAACTGCCACCTTGACCTGCTGGCAATCCTTCCACTTCAGCATTCCAAGTAGCTGAAACTACTGGTGTGTGCCACCAGGCCCAGCTAATTTTTTTATTTATTATAGAGACAAGGGTTTACTAAGGGGTGTGGATGGTTTGGAAACTGTTTGCTCAGGAAATCCTGTCATCTCTATCTCCCAAAGTGCTGGGATCATGGGTGTGAGCCACGGTGCCAGCCTGAAAGATTCTTAGTGATTATTATTATGGGTTGTTCTATTCTTACATCTTATGGGGTTTTCTTTTGATTTGCCAAAAGGTGGGAAAGGCTGCCAACTTGGACTGCAGTAAAATGTAAATTTTTTTTGAATCGGAGTCTCACTTTGTCGCCCAGACTGGAGTGCAGTGGAATACTCCCAACTACGACAGCCTCAACCTGTTGGGCTCCGGCGGGTTTCTGTGATCCTTCCACCTCAGTCTTCCAAGTAGCTGGAACTACAGGCATGTGCTACCACACCTGGCCAATTTTTTTTGTTTACTGTAGGGATGAGGTCTCTCCAAGTTGCCTGCGTGGTTTCGAACCCACGGGCTTAGGCAATCCACTCACCTTGGCCTCCCAAAGTGCTGGGATTACAGGCTGAGCCACTGAGCCTGCCTAAATGTAATTTTATTTAAAAAAAAATTTTTTTTGAGTTGGAGTCTCACTCTGTCGCCCAGACTGGAGTGCAGTGGCCATTCCCGGCCACCGCAGCCTCACCTGCTAGGCTCCGGCGATCCTTCTGCCTCAACCTTCTGAGTAGCCAGAATTACAAGCATGCACTACCACTACCATGCCTGGCTGATTTTTTTTATTTATTGTAGAGATGAGGTTTCACTGCCCAGGTGGGTCTCGAACCCACAGGCTCAGGCAATCCACTCACCTCAGCCTCCCAAATGTGCGGGATTACAGGCTGAGCCACCACCTGGCTCCAAATGTAATTTTAAAATGTCTGAATGCTTCCTAAAACCAGCCTATGGGATATTTATCTATTGATGTCTTACCTGTGCTAGCTACCGTGTCTTATTTTAACATTTTACTGTTACATTTGCTATTGTTTTAGTCTAAGTTTTATCTTCCTCCAAGATAGTAATTTATAGGAAATACAATTAAGTTGATTAAGTGAGTGGTTTCTTTGCATTTTCACACACATTGCTGGTATTGAGGGGAAAGACAGAAATGATTCCGGTTCTCTGTGAAAGTGTAAACTTAGGTGAGGTGGACTGTTGCCATGGAAATAATGCAAGATTGCAACAAAGGAGGAAGTTTACTAACCACCTTTCACAGATTGGAAAGGGCGCAGACAGAGGCAAGTGAGGTGTGGAAGGGACAAGGATTGGGTTTTTTAAAGGCCTTTGGGGAAAGGGGGTTAAGCCCCCAGGACTGTCCCAACAGATGGAAGTTTCTGGAGTGTAGGGACATTGACCACTTGATCTGTTTTGTTCTGGTGGCTTGTAATATGGTGGTAAACCTGTTACCTACCAGTGTGTTTCTCCAGACCTACTCCTCATTATTTACCCAAGTAACAGGAAACTGGAGCCAATCCATATAGCTCAATTCATTCTTGGTCCAGGGAGAATTATATATATATATTTTTTTCTTTTTTGAGTTGGAGTCTCACTCCATCGTCCAGACTGGAGAGCAGTGGCACGCTCCCAGCCACCCCAGCATCAACCTGTTGGGCTCCGGTGATCCTTCTGCCTCAACCTTCCAAGTAGCTGAAACTACAGGTGCGTGCCAGCACACCAGGCTAATTTTTGATTTATTGTAGAGATAAGGTCTTGCCAAGTTTCCCGGGCATGTCTCAAACCCGTGGATTCAGGCAATCCACTCACCACAGCCTCCCAAAGCGCTGGGATTACAGGTTGAGCCACCGAACCCGGTGAGAGTTATATTCTTATTACTAAACTCAGCAGTAAAAATAATTTATTGAAAGTATTATTGGCTAGGCTCTGGAGGCTGTGGCGGGTTGATCATCTGAGCCCACATGTTCAAGACCAGTCGAGGCACCTTGGCGAGACCTCCTCTTTATAATAAATTAAAAAATTAGCTGGGTGTGGTAGTGCATGCCTGTAGCAGCTACTTGGAAGACTGAGGTGAAAGGATCACCGGAACCTGGCTGGTTGATTCTGAGTTGACCATGTGTGTGCCACTGCACTCCAGCCTCGGCGACAGAGTGAGTTTGACTAAAAAAAAAAAATGTAAGCCGGGCTCGGTGGCTTAGCCTGTAATCCCACGCTTTGGGAGGCTGAGGTGAGTGCATTGCCTGAGTCTGCGGGTTCGAGACCCGCCTGGGCAAATTGGTGAGGCCTCATCTCTACAATAAATCAAAAAATCAGCCAGGCATGGTAGCGCGTGCCTATAATTCCGGCTACTCAGAAGGCTGAGGCAGAAGGATCGCCAGAGCCCAGCAGGTCAAGGCTGCGGTGGCTGGAAGTGTCCACTGCACTCCAGTCTGGGCGACAGAGTGAGACTCCAACTCAAAAAAAAAAAATGTAATGGATGCTTTCATACACCTGTGAAATTCAACAATTAATCTACCACACTTTCTGGTGGAAATGTATTGATTTCCACAGCCATAAAGAGCAAACTTGTCCCTCAACGTTGTGATGTAACCTTGGAGAGGAGAGAGGAGGAACGGGGGCCAGCACCTCAGACCCTCCCTCTGCAGGCCCCACCCCCCACTCAGATCTTCCCCACTTCTTTCGGGTCCCAAACACATGGAATGAGGGGTTGTACACAGAGGGCTCAGCTGGTGAGGTCGCGGATGGGACAAGTCCCCAGGGTTCCGGCCTAGCCTTACCCACACTGAGGGTACCAGTCCCAGGTGCTGGCGGGGCTGTGTTCACTGTCAACTGAGGAGACCGGTCCCGCTACATCCGGGTCATCCAAGTCCATCCACTCCCCCTCTTGGGACACCCCCAGCATACTCACCTTCTCCCTGCTTCTGGATGTCCCGGCAGCCTCGCCAAGAACTTCCACATCCTGCAGGTCACAGGGCGACAGAGGTTGAAGCAAAGACACGAGGAGGTACCGGAGTGGAGGACAGTGAGGCGAGAATGACCCAACTCTGCTCGCAGGCACAGGAGACAAAGGTCCGACCAGAGCCCAAAAGCCGCCCCCTCACTTTCAGCTCCCCCCTGATTGACCAGTTCAGACCTCAGCATCCGTTGATTGGAAAAACCTTCAGGCCCCGGCTTTCTGGTCTTGACTGGCAGGAGATGCAAAACGAGAGGGACTCCATAGGCCAAAATGCCTTTAGCTTTCTCCTTGCCCCGGAGACTGGGCAGAAGGGTGGGGGGAGGGGGCTTGAGGGCCCTGTCGGGGCATGATGGGAGTTTTTTTCGCTCCTGGTTGGTGGGTTGCTGGACTGTAGGTCTCATCACCTCTCCCGGGACACTTTGGAATGGTCCTGCAGCTCCACGACTCACCGACGGGAGCCATGCAGACACCAGTGTTCCCAGCAAGCCCTGCAAGGGGCCCACAACCCCACACCTCCCCACCAGGTTCCGGCACTGGGAGAAATCTCAACATCTTCTTGCCTCATGCAGCCCGCGCCTGATCGCGTGTCCTGTGACTCAAGACCAGATGGCCTGGAGTTTTGCCCAAGCAGCGGACGCTGGGGTTTGAGATGGCCAATCAGACAGGAGCTGGAAGGGAAGGGGCAGCTTCCAGGCTTCTCTTCAGCCTGTGTTGGCCGGTGACATGCAGGTCCTGAGAGAAATATAGGGCAGACACTGAGACCCTTGGAAGGTGGCAGGTTTCCCGAGAGGGGTATGGGGATGGGCCCGAATCACCCGGCTCTGTAGGAACCGGCCTCCCTTTCAGCTTCGAGCCTGGACCCGTCCCCGCCGGTGGCTCCACCTGGTCCCCTCGGTGTAGGTGGGCCTGTGCTGCGACCCCAGAGTCTTGACCCCACAGAGATGTTGCCTGCTGAGCACTCTTCAGGCAGCTCCCCACCTCCAAGGGCCAGGGACTCGGGAGGGTCATGCGGAGGATCCGACCTGCGTGGGGGGCTTGGAGGGGGAGGCTATGGCCCTGACCCGGTCCCTGTCTCCTCCCCAGAGTTAAACGGCGGCTCCATCACAGCGTTAAGGAGGCCTCTTGGGCCAACAGTGGTTCATGAGTCCTGAAACCCCAGCCAGGACTCGTGGTGTGGGGATCCCAGAGGGCCTTGGAGGAAAGGATTTGAGAAGGGGCAAAGGGAAACCGGATATGGGCAGGATCTGTCATCAGTGTCATTGACCATTTGTGTCAGCAGGTACAAACCCGGTTCTGTGGACATAAGGAGTTGGAGTAAGGGTTGTGACTTTAGTAGGGACATTAAAGTCAAGGAAATGAGGGGACGGCATCCTAAAAACCGCTCCTGGGTCGTGTGTGCTGTTGAAAAATTTTTATCCAGGCTGTGGAACAGAGACGGGCAAAGATCAAGAGGTGGCTTAGACTTGCAGGCATCTGGGCGATGAAAGGAATACTGGAAAGTGGTGAATTCTCTTTCCCCTTGGTTCTCAGTCTCCTTGTTCCTTTATTAAACAAAACAGCTACAGCAAATACTCCCACTTTCCCAGAGTTAGTCTGGACAGCTGCATACTGGTGCCAGCCTTATCTTGTCAGCATTTCAGTATTTTAGCTACATGCAAACACACAAAGAGACCAGAGACACCGCCCCCCTGCCTCAGTCTAAGACGGAGTCACGTCAAACCTTTGAGAGTGGACTGCGCCATTTTGGGTTGATTAGGTCTAAGCTTTATATTATTAAATTAGTAACTATCAAAAAATCTATTTTAGTTCAGCAAATGGTTTCTGTGCACTTTTAGACACATCACTGTTCTTGAGGGAAAAAGGCAGAAATGATGTTTGTCCTCTCGATTATCTTGCATTTGTAAAGAAGAAAAACTATCCCAAAGGACAAGGTAGACCCACCTCAGAGAGATGGTGGAAGAATCCACAAATCAAAGAGAACCTCAGAAAAACAGGAGAGCAAGGGAGGGACTCCCAAGAGGGTGGAAAGACTCTGACAAAAAAAATAAGTCCATTCCATTTAATTTTGAAATAAATAAAGGCATATTTTCAACATGTAGGTGTGACTTGATTAGATCATCTCACCTGAGAAGAAATCCCAGAGAAGTAGGAGAAAAAGGAAAAAAAATGGCTGCTTCTCAGGTAAATGTGTCCCAAGTCAGAAGAAATGTCATGTGTGTAAAACTTGAAAACCATCCTACTGTCCCATTGATGGTCCTGCCTAAAGAGTTTGTTTCAACTATGTTTGTTCTTCCTGGGATATTCAATGGGCCTGTCGGACACCGCTCCCTACATAGCCTCTTCTGTTCTCTTCATCCATTCTACTTTGTTGCCATGAACTGTTCTCACTGCAAATGTTTGACCTACATTATTAATGATCCCTTGTGATTGGGGATCATGGGAAGGAACAGTAACCAAGAATCCTATTGGAGATAGGGTAGATCCTCAGATCCTAATGAAGGATAGTAACGTGTATTTATTTATTTATTTTTGAGTTGTCATCCCCCACTGTTTCCCAGAATGAAGTGTACTGGCACACTCACAGCCATCACAGCCCAGTTAATTTTTTGATTTATTGTAGAGTTCAGTCTAGCCAAGTTGTCCAGGCTGGTCTTGCACCTGAGGGTTTGGAAAATTCTCTTGTCTCCACCTTCCAAAGTGCTGGGATTATAGGCATGACTCTCTGTGCCTAGTCAGAACATGTACTATTAAGTTTCTGTCTAGATGCTCCATCAGCTCCATGTAGAACACAGTTAATAAAATGTACATTCAGACTGGGCTCGGTGGCTCATAATCCCACCATTTTGGGAGGCTGAGATGAGTGGATTGCCTGAGCCCATGAGTTTGAGACCCATCTAGGCAACTTGGCAAGACCTTGTCTCTACAATAAATCAAAAACTAACTAGGAGTGGTAGTGGGTGCCTATGGTTCTGGCTACTTGGAAGGCTGAGGTGGAAGGATCTCCAGAGCCCAGCAGGTTGAGGTTGTGGTGGCTGGGAGCATGCCACTACACTCCAGTCTGGGTGACAGAGTGAGACTCTATCTCAAAAAACAAAAAAAGTAAGAATAATTAGAAGATATTTGCTCTCCAGGATGCTAAAAACAAATAATATAAATACACTTTCAGAGATTACATGCCATGGGAAATACCTGTAGGCTGATTTTTGCCCTATATATGTTTACTTGTTATTACATTGAGATTATAAATTACTATATTGGCCAGGTTTGGTGGCTTAGCCTGTAATCCCAGCACTTTGGGAGGCTGTGGTGACAGAATTTCCTGAACCTGCATTTTGGGAACAACTTGGGTAATTTGGTGACACCTCATCTCTACAATAAATTACAAAAAGTAGCTGGGCATGGTTGAGTGCCCCTGTAGTTCTAGCTACATGGAAGGCTGAGGTGGAAGGATCACCTAAGCCCAACAGGTCGAGGTGGCAGTGTCCATGAGCATGCTACTGCACTCCAACCTGGGTGACAAAAGTGAGACTCCAACTCAAAAAATAATAAATTACTATAATTTTTGACAAAAGATCTCAGCATGGATGTTGTGTTGCACCTGTGTGCCTTGGCATCTGATATCAATTTGTCCCAACTATTTGGCATGCTGTGGAGGAGGCATTCTTTCAGCCCAGGAGATCGAGGTTGCAATAAGCTGTGATTATGCCATGGCACCCTAGCATGGATAAGAATGAGACACAACAACTGATAAAAAACAACTGCAGAACCTCAGGCTAAATCCATGTATTCTGAATTAGAATTTGCATTTTAACAAGATATTCAATTCATTCTTGTTTGAATTACATCTTGATGAGGACCTTCCAACTCACTAGGAGTTTTCCATCTGAGCAGTATGTGTAATGTATTCTGTGTGATGTAAACATAGCAATGAAAAATATACATGCCTGTGCTGGTGTCCAAATTTATGCTGTATCCCTCACAAAAATAGGGTGTCTACACTAGCTGAGTGGCTTTTATTTTATTCTTTTTCTGACACACTTAATGCATTAGAGGATATTTCTGTGTTATGAAATTTCTTAGTGCATAATAATAGTTGTCATGTCAGCTGGACCTGGTTCTCTTCACGCTTGCTTTACCTAGATGCCATGGTGACCTGGTAAATATGTGTTGTTGTTTTCAGGGGCTGTTGACATTCAAGGATGTGGCTATAGAATTCTCTCCAGAAGAGTGGGAATGCCTGGACTACTCTCAGCGAATATTGTACAGGACTGTGATGTTAGAGAACCACAGAAACATGGTTTTTCTGGGTGAGGAAACACTCAACACACAATTCCTATTTCATACTAAGGATTTTATGTACTTCCTTTGTAGAATGTTTTCTGAGAATTTCTGCTTTGCATGAATGAGTTTCCGCTTCCTGCTATCAAGGAAATGTTGGTGATATGTTAACATAGAAAAGAAAAAAATAGAGATGTTTCATTTTGACATGAAGCCTTCTCTATTTTGAATTGACTGGTGTCCTTCTAGCTATATTATTGTTAAGTTCAGAAATTTAGTTGCGTAAATATCATTGCCCACATCTTGTTCCAATTGCTGCCATAAGTTATCGACTCACTAGAACAGAACTAAGAATTCACAAATTTAAGGCCAGGCACAGTGGCTCAACCCTGTGATTCCAGTACTTTAGAAGGCTGAGTTGAGAGGATTGCCAGAGCTCATGGTTTCAAGAATAGCCTGGGCAACTTGGCAAGACCCCATCTCTACAATAAATCAAACAATTTACTGGGGGTAGTAGTGCATACCTGTAGTTCTGGCCACTTTGTAAGCTAAGGGAGAAAAATTACCCGAGCCCAACAGGTGATTGCTGGGGTGGCTGTGAGCTTTCCACTGCACTCCAGCCTGGGTGACAGTGAGACTCCAAACCAAAATAAAAAAAAAACCCGCAAATTTAAAATTCTATCTAAATGTTCCTAAAGTTTTATTGGGAAATAGTATTTTGGGATTATTTTTCTAGAACCTTGTGTAATGTGTTCTCTACTGATCACAATACTAGGTTTATAATTTAAGAACCCCAGCAAGAATCATGATACTTTCTTCTAATTAAACAGGACTTGCTGTCTCTAAGCCAGACCTCATCACATGTCTGGAGCAAAGGAAAGAGCCCTGGGATGTGAAGAGACACAGCACGCTAGCCCAAATGCCAGGTAGGTGGGAGTGAATGAAACAGATGACACATGTCTAGGAATCAGAGTTTGAAATTTGGTTTGGGAAGGTGGTTTGCTCCAATAGAAATGGTTTCTGAGAAGCCTGGGATTCTTTCTCTTGCTGTCACAAAGGGACATCTGTTATTCCATGTTCTGAAATTCTCCAAAAGCTTTCTCTTTTTTTGAGTTGGCGTCTCACTCTGTCACCCAGACTGGAGTGCAGTGGCCGCTCCTGGCCACCACAGCCTTGCCCTGCTGTGCTCCATTGATCCTTCCACCTCAGCCTTCCAAGTAGCTGGAACTACAGGCCCGTGCTACTGTGCTCGGCTAATTTTTTGATTTATTGTTGAGATGAGGTCTCACCAAGTTGCTCAGATGGGTCTCAAACCTGCAGGCCCAGGTAATTCACTCACCTCGACCTCCCAAAGCATGAGATTACAGGCTAAGCCACCGAGCCCGGCCCAAAAATTGTTTCTTAAATGATCTTTCTAGATTACATAGGAAATCAAAGTTCATTTAAAGGTTTATTAGAGGTTGCATGATTTTACTACCTTTCTAATGCTTTGGAGAAGTGCAAATATCTGCTTTATTTATTTGGAAATCCATGTAAAACTCTTTTTTATGCTTTCTTTTTGCATCATGTTTGGATGTATATGAAAGTAGTGATTTTGTTATCTTTGATGAATTTTAAGAACTCTCTGGACACAAGCTACATGTTTTGTACTTTATGATTTTCTATACTAGGGAGATATCCAATGATTTTATTTAAATTCACACTCCATAGTTCTGCCAGAACAAAACATATCTCTCTTAATAGAAGAAATCCTGTTATTTTATTTTAATTTTACTTTTAAAGTATGATCTGAGATGTAATTTTTTTATATATCTAAATGTTTAAGTGTATTATATGGTGTAGAGGATTGGTAAACATATATTAAACTCCCACATGTTACCTTGTATCTTAACAACTCTTATTTTGTAATTTTCTTGTCTTTAGTATGAAGCTTAGGACTAGCTTACATATATGCATATATACAAAATGTGTATGTGTTTGTTTATGTGTGATTAATATCTGTTTTTTTATACATAAGTAAAAAATGTATAACCATATTTGTGAATAATGAAATAATTTGATATGCCTATACACTGTGAAATGATGATTACAATTATATTATGAGCATATCAATCATCTTACGTTGATGCCATTTCTATGTTTTGCAAGAAAAACACATAATATATTCTATTTTAGCAAATCTTTTAAGTATATGAGACATCATTTTTGGCTATGTCACTATGTTATACATTAGTTCACTAAAACTCAGTTATAACTAAAATTTTGTGACCATTAAAAAACATCTCACCTGGGCTTGGTGGCTCAGCCTGTAATCCTGCACCTTTGGGAGGCTGAGGTGAGTGGATTGCCTGAGCCCGTGGGTTTGAGACCCACCTGGGCAGTGAGACCTCATCTCTACAATAAATCAAAAAATCAGCCAGGTGTGGTAGCGCATCCCTGTAATTCTGGCTACTTGGAAGGCTGAGGCAGAAGGATCTCCGGAGCCCAGCAGGCGAGGCTGCGGTGGCCAGGAGCGGCCACTGCACTCCAGTCTGGGCAACCGAGTGAGACTCCAACTCAAAAAAAACCAAAACAACAACAACAAAAATAAAACATCTCCATTCTCCCATTTCAGGCCCTGGTGATCACGTTGTACTTTTTTCCTCTCTGAGTGCAGTTTTTTTATTCCACAGGAGTGAAATCATTTAGCATTTTTTCACCCTGAGTTTGAGTCTCACTCTATTCCCAGACTGGAGTGCAGTGGCATGCTAATGAACCACTACAGCCTCATTACTGGACTCACGTGATCTTCCATATCAACCTTCCAAGTAGCTGGAACTACAGGTGCACGTTGCAACCCCAAGCTTGTTTTTTTATTTATCACTGATACAAAGTCTCATCAAGGTGCCCAGACTGTTCTTGAACATCTGAGCTCAGTCAATCCTCTCAACTTGGCCACCCAGTGTGCTGGGATTTCAGACTTGAGCCACTGTACCCATTCTCATGCAGTATTTGTGTGTGCGTGCCTGGTTCACCTCAGTTAGCATAGTGTCTTAAAATTTCATCCATAAGGTTGAAATTGCAGTATTCTTTAATTTTTTTTTGTGGCTGAATCATATGCTGTTGTGTATATATACTTAATTTTCTTAATCAACACAGAATCCACATATATTTAGGTTGTTTTCAAGCTTAGCCATCTTGACAAATGCTGCAGTGCACATAGAGGTCAGACACTTCTTTTTGGTACTGATTTTATTTCCTTTGGTTATATACCCAGAAAAGAGATTTTTGTGTTATATGGCAGTTTAATTTTATTTTTTAAAGAATGTTGAAGCTAGTCTCGGTAGCTTAGCCTGTAATCCCAGTGCTTTGGGAGGGTGAGGTGAGTGGATTGCCCGAGCCCGCGGGTTCGAGACTCACCTGGGCAACTTGACAAGACCTTATCTATACAATAAAATCAAAAAAATTATCTGGACTTGGTAGCGCATGCCTGTAGTTCCAGCTACTTGGAAGACTGAGGTGGAAGGATTGCCGGAACCCAGCAGATGAGGCTGCAGTGGCTGGGAGCATGCCACTGCACTCCAGTCTGGGTGACAGAGTGAGACTGCAACTCAAAAAAAGAATGTTGACAATGATTTTTATATAACTCCACCAGTTTAAGCTCACCAAGAGTATACAGGATTTATTTTTCTTCACATCCTTACCAAAAGTTCTCTTCTGGTTTATATTAGTCATTCTAACAGGTGTGAGACAATATGTTATCATTGTGTTTATTTGAAATTGCCTCTATTGATGATGTTCTGTGCCATTTAATATTTTTATATACCTGTTGGCAATTTGTATTCCTCATTGGATAAATAACAATTAATTTGGGTGATATTTTTTATTCAGGTAATTATCATTTCCTTGTTTATGTCTTTGATTTGTATAATTTTCTTGTATATTTTGCATATTAACATCTCATCAAATATATGGTTTGCAGATATTTTCACTTGTCCTGTAAGCCTTCTTTCTTTTCCCTTTACAATGCAGAAGCTTTTAAGTTTGATGTCTCCAACTGGTTTATATTTACTTTTATTCCTGTAGTCATAAAAAAATTATTACTGAGACCAATATCAGTATCAAGGATGTTTTCAAAATCCTTTTTATGGTTTTGTTTTATCAGCCATGTTCTCTATCACCCAGGCAGGACTGTGGTGGCTCAATTAAGGCTCACTACAGCCTTAAGCTCCTTGGCTCAGGTGATCACTCCCCTTCAATCTCCTCAGTACTGTGATTACAGTTAGCACAAAACTTTGATAGTGGCTTGTCTGACTGTATGTTTGTGTTTGTCCTAATTTGAGTTCAGTAAAGTTGTTGGTTTTCCTATTTTTCTTCATTTTATTTGAAAATTTCTCAGACTGTTTTGTAATTTGCAGCTCCACAAATTATTGTTGTGCCTTTAATTGAGTCATTTATCCTGATTCTTTCTATGCTTTGGCATACTTTGTTTGAATTGAGGTATTTGAAATTCAAAGATGTACAAGTCACAATGTTTATAAAGTTGTGTTGTCTAGATTAATTGACACCAATCACTAAGTTAGAGATTCTAGGAGACAAGTCATACCTGCTCTTAGGATGTGTCTTCTCTGTAAATTGGGACAGAAACCAGCCTTTGGGTTAACCCCCAAAGGGCAGAAGTGTGGACTCATGCTCTACTCTTCTGTTTATTCCCTGAGGAAGAAGAGTTAGAACATCTCATGTGATTGCATCATGCTGTATTTTGAGGGGAGACTATGGTGGGAAAATTATTAAACTTCCTCTTCCATGTAGCTCATTTTAACATTGTGCTCACTGTGGATTCTGCAAAGTCTTAACTGTTTTTTGAGTTCTCACACAGGCAATGTGGTAAGTATTTTCTTAAGTACATATATTTATGAAGGAGTGGAAACCTGTGATTTGTCTTTGCCATTGTGCTTATGTCCTTAGCGTGGTATAATATTAAGTTTCACTTTTAAAGGATATTCACCTGAGTCTAGTATATGGAATAAATTTTTATTTTCATAATTTTCAGTTGTGACTTCTCATTACACCGAGGGCCTTTTGCCAGAGAAGAGCATAGAAGACTCACCCACAAAGGACCCGATGGGAAAATATGGAAAATTTGGCCTTAAAATCTTATGCTTAAAAAGATGTTGGGTTAGTGTGCAGAAGAGTGAAGGGCAGATAGCATGCTCAATAGCAAATAACCATTACAAATGTAATAAGAGTGGGAAAGTCTTTCATCAACAATCCAAATTTATCCACCAGAGTATCCATATTTCTAAAATGACTTTCAAACATGAATATGGCAAAATGTTTAACCAGTCCTCAAAGTGTAGTCAATATCAAAAAAATAGTGGAGGAAATGTACACACTACATGTGTGAAGACATTTAGAAAATCACCTTATCTAAATAGATGTGAAAGAATCCATAGGGGAAAGAGAGCCTTCAAATGTGAAGAATGTGGCAAAGTCTTTCGTACTCATTCAGACCTTGATCAACATACTGTAATCCATACTAGAAAGAAACCCTACAAATGTGAAGAATGTAGCAAAACCTTTCACAGTCGTTCAGGCCTTGTTCGACATATGATGATCCATACTGGAGAGAAACCCTACAAATGTGCAGAATGTGGCAAAGCCTTTTGTTCTCATTCACACCTTACTCGACATATGGTGATCCATACTGGAGACAAACCCTACAAATGTAAAGAATGTGGCAAAGCCTTTCGCTCTCAAGAAGGATTTGCTGGACATAAGACTATCCACACTGGAGAGAAATCCTACAAATGTGCAGAATGTGGCAAAGGCTTTACTCAGTACTCGAAGCTTATTGTACATCAGCGTATCCATACTGGAGAGAAACCCTACAAATGTAAAGAATGTGGCAAAGCCTTTCGTTGGCACTCAGGTATTATTGAACATCAGAGTGTTCATACT